CCGAACTCGGTAAGGGTTCCTTCAAGTACGCATGGGTCCTCGACAAATTGAAGGCCGAGCGTGAGCGTGGTATCACCATCGATATCGCTCTCTGGAAGTTCGAGACTCCCAAGTAAGTTACTATCGACGAAGTGCATCCTGGACGTTCACTGACTTCATACGTAAAGATACTACGTCACTGTAATCGACGCCCCCGGTCACCGTGACTTCATCAAGAACATGATCACTGGTACCTCCCAGGCCGACTGCGCTATTCTCATCATTGCCGCCGGTACTGGTGAGTTCGAGGCTGGTATCTCCAAGGATGGCCAGACTCGTGAGCACGCCCTTCTCGCCTACACTCTCGGTGTCAAGCAGCTCATCGTCGCCATCAACAAGATGGACACCACCAAGTGGTCCGAGGAGCGTTACCAGGAGATCATCAAGGAGACCTCCAACTTCATCAAGAAGGTCGGCTACAACCCCAAGCACGTTCCCTTCGTCCCCATCTCCGGCTTCAACGGTGACAACATGATTGAGGCTTCCTCCAACTGCCCCTGGTACAAGGGTTGGGAGAAGGAGACCAAGGCCAAGGCCACTGGTAAGACCCTCCTCGAGGCCATTGACGCCATCGACCCTCCCAGCCGTCCCACCGACAAGCCCCTCCGTCTTCCCCTCCAGGATGTCTACAAGATTGGAGGTATTGGCACGGTGCCCGTCGGTCGTGTCGAGACCGGTATCATCAAGGCCGGTATGGTCGTCACCTTCGCCCCCGCTGGTGTCACCACTGAGGTCAAGTCCGTCGAGATGCACCACGAGCAGCTTGTCGAGGGTGTCCCCGGTGACAACGTCGGCTTCAACGTCAAGAACGTCTCCGTCAAGGAGATCCGTCGTGGCAACGTTGCCGGTGACTCCAAGAACGACCCCCCCAAGGGTGCCGAGTCCTTCAACGCCCAGGTCATCGTCCTCAACCACCCTGGTCAGGTCGGTGCCGGTTACGCACCAGTCCTCGACTGCCACACCGCCCACATTGCTTGCAAGTTCTCTGAGCTCCTCGAGAAGATTGACCGCCGTACCGGAAAGTCTGTTGAGAACTCTCCCAAGTTCATCAAGTCCGGTGACGCCGCCATCGTCAAGATGGTTCCCTCCAAGCCCATGTGCGTTGAGGCTTTCACTGACTACCCTCCCCTCGGTCGTTTCGCTGTCCGTGACATGCGTCAGACCGTTGCCGTCGGTGTCATCAAGTCCGTCGCCAAGGCCGACAAGGCTGGCAAGGTCACCAAGGCCGCCCAGAAGGCTTCCAAGAAATAAGCGCTCTCTTCTTGGGCTGCTTGTTTCTCTTCTTTCGTCTCTAGATACCTGGTTCTGGGGATGTGGTTGCTTCGGAAAAGCTGTGATGACTTTTGAAACGTGTCATGCATAACGGTCTGGGGTCCTGGCGTCGTCCTTCCATAGTTTCCATAATGATCTGAATGAAAACATGGGTGGGATATGAACAATAACACTTCTTCTGCCTTCGTGAGTGACTTGCTGGTGTCTTGACTTTCCACTCTTGGCTGTTCTTCTTCCCTCGCATGACCTGGTTCACCCGTGTCATCCATCTTTGTTGAGATTCCTACCTGGCGTGGCTACAATTCGTGTCGATTCTACAAAATTATTGTTCAGCTAGACGGCTACATCAACTTAGGGACTGTCTAGTTGTCAGAATATAATACCATGTATGCGACACGCTTCGTAGCCACCTCTAGTGCTCCAAGGACCAAGGCAGGTTTCGCCGCGGACTGGTGAGCTTTGTTCACCGTGTACTTCTCATCTTAGGCTTGGAAGAAGCACCTCACTCATGGAAAATATGGACAGCCTGGAGCCTACATTGACGTTGGATCATCTGCTTTGTATATGTTCACATTCATGTAGGCTGCAAACCTGTTCAGGATTTTTCGTTGTGGAAAGACATGCCTGCCACGCTGGTGCTTGAGCCAACACCGTGGCTGGTTGATGGCTTCAAGGAACGACCCACTGTTTTGGATTTAGCGCTGGCCATCACTTCCAAGGTTACTAACCGCATGCAAGTCGCCATCGTTCTACGCTCTCACATTACAATCTCTCTAGAGGAACAATGTCGGCAGATCTTTTTGCGGAGTTCGGAGCAGACCCCCCTCCTACTCAACAGCAATCGCAGCCTGCACCCAACGCCATAACAAGTGCACCTGCTGCATCTGACTTCAACTTCTTCAACGGCCTGGGTAACACCCCGGGTTTAGCAACACCGTCGCAGCAACCTCCGTCAACGAGCAACACTCAGAATCTTGGGTCGAATTACGAAAATTCATCTGCTATCGAAGACAATGACGACTGGGGCGATTTTGAGGGCGGCTCGTCTCTCGAACCCGTTCCTGCCGCCAAACAAGATCCGTTCGCATTTGCATCGCCTCCGGCCGTCCAACCGCAATCAAATGCATGGAACATCACCTCAAAAACCCACGATCCCTTTGCATTCGCATCGCAAGCATCTTCGCAGCCGCTAGAGCAGACATGGAACCGAGCGCCAATCGTGAAGGCCAAGAAATCAGCCGACCCAAGCGTTTTGTTCGACGCGGAGGATGATCTTGATGATGACGACGACTTTGGCGATTTCGAAGGCGAACAGGAGAGTAAGACGCAGCCTACGGTACCCGTGGCATCGTCTTCGGCGATTGTGGACTTACTCGGCGACATGAGCATAGCACAGGCTCAACCACCTAGCACCAGTAGTAGAGATACTGCAAACGCAAGTCGGGGTCCAAAGCTCCAAGCGACGACGAACAAGAAACCTGGCACAGGCTTTGGTGCTGTGACCAAACCAAAGCAACCCGCGCCGACACCTGCAGTAGCTCAAGAAGATGACGGATGGGATGAATTTGACGACTGGGAGGCGTCTATTCCTAGTAAAGCAACAAGCAAACCCGAAGCCGTGAAGTCGACTAGCAATGCCGGAATGAGTATTGCACCAGCTCCGATACTATCTCCTACAACAACAGATCCGCAGGCTGGCGAGCTACCTCCTACAAACGTGCCACCACCCGGCGTGTTGCTATCACTTTTTCCTTCTCTCTTCGCCGAAGCACAGGAGAAGTTGTTCAAGCCCATGGCAGCCCAACCTTTGCCCATGCGAAACAAGCTACTAGCGGAGCCCGCGACGATTGCCTACCTCCAGGGCTATCTTATACTCGGAAACGTCGCGGCGCACATCATAGCAGGAAGGAAATTGCGCTGGAAGCGAGACCAACATCTGTCTCAAGGCATGCGAATTGGCCCAGCGTCATCACGAGCGACTTCTGGAATGAAGTTGACGGGCATTGATAAGGGCGAGAACATGAAAGAAGAGCGAGAGGTTTCCGACGTGGTCAGAAGCTGGAAAGAACAGGTTGGGCGACTACGCCATGTCGTATCTGGCGCAAATCAAATCAAGGCGGGCACTCTAGACCGTGGACCGGATTTGCAAGAGACGATGCCAGTGAAGACACTCAAGCAGTCCGAGGGCGGTATTCCCGCACGGCAGCCCTGCATGCTGTGTGGACTAAAACGAGAGGAGAGAGTAACTGCAGCGGATATGGCCACGGACGATAGCTTTGGCGAGTGGTGGATTGACCAGGTCAACATGCATCGAGGTGTGTCTATGAAATGGCTGTGATGAAGACGATTGCTGACTCTAGACTAGGCTGTAGGAACTTCTGGAACCAGCACAAAGACACTCTTCGACAACACTGATGGCTTGAAGTTCGCATCTCCAGGATGAATGCATGGGTACAGCACACGGCATGCATGCGAGCGATGTTCAGCCAATGGTGTCCTCCGGGGTATGCGGAGCTAATCACGGGTGGTCGCAACCTGCACGACTTTCTGCATGATGAGCAGAGAATTCAGAGGCCTCCATTGAACAAGTGACATCTGTTACTTTCCACATTCGCTGTGCATATTGTTGCTAGGTGCCGGTAGTGTACATGGTGTTGTTCAGGGCATGCTATGACGACACCTGGGCATGAATGTCGGCTAGATTGGCGGAACGTTTGCTCTTTGCGCAAAGCGATGGAAGAGGCGGCAGAGCAGCACATGTCAGAAGGAAGGCTAGCGGAGGCTTGTCGGACGGATGATGACAGGTCCGGCTGGGGAAGCTTGTGGGACAAGTGGGATGCGCCGCAAGAAGCATTGTACATGGCCAGCATGGTAGAGACTAGGTTTCAGCTGGGCAAAGCAGATTTGGAGTCTTGTGCAACCTTGACGTCTAGCGTGTGGTGAGGCAGGCGTGGAGTATGATGATGGTGTCCCGCCCCGGTCTATGGTAGATCAGATCTCTGGTAGCGTCGAGGGCGGGTGCATCGTCTGTGCACTTCGCGGGGCCAGCGTAGGCGCAATGCAAATAACGCCGTTGCCGTCTCAAGTCGCATCCATAGTGCGGGCGACGTAACTACATGCCATTCACTGTACACGCCCACTGATCATCCTTGACTCTAGTCCGCTCCACGCGTCGCATTTCTTACTGAACAGCCGCTTCCGTCGCAGGTGATATCCGACTCAAGCCCCATCAGCCCTGCATTCCCCGCCAAAGCCTTTGCACCACCGCCCGCCCGCGCATCTTGCACCCGTACCCCAGAAGCGATACCGCCGCCGCCCCCAACGCGACACCGGGTCAGTACACATTGACTTGTGTGCCTGTAGACCAAGACTGGCCCTCTCGTCGTCATTCGCTGCGCGTAGTCCTACCGAGCCGAGACTTGTGCCCAGGCCTGGGAACAGGCGCTCGTACGCCTCAGGGAATGAGCAGGCCAAATGATCATGGTACGTCAAGTGACCCTCCGTCCCGAGTCGTGATGCCCGCGACTGCCTCCACGGCGTCTGCCTCTGCCACCGGCGAGAAATGGCCCGCTTTGTAAGCTTCACCGCTCAATGCACCCGTGGACTGCGAGAGGAACGGCACCGGGCTGCTGCAGTAGATAATAGACACCCGCCTTGCCTGCCACCTGGACCACCTCCTGCTCTTCTGCATGGATCTGCTTGCTGACGCCCTCACCCCGCCAGGCTCTCTACCAGAAGAAGCACCCTTCGACTCGTTTGCACAGTCGCCGCACCTCTCCGAATATGCCCCGCTGGTCAAGACGAAAAGCACATCCAGCCTGCTGAGCTGGCGGACGGGGCCGCCGCCACCCATCGACACGGCCAAGCGCCTGAGCATCGATGCAGGGCAGCTGGACCGCATGGCCAGGTGAGTGCAACGTGCGAGAGGCTGGACAGGCAGGAGCTTCCTCCGGTTCGCGGGTAACGGCTGACACATGCTCCAGGTCGCCCATTGTGTCTGAGCATGAACACGGCCTAGGCTCTTCAGGCCTGCGTCGCATTCGCCAACAGCCAGGCCCACGGCAGCTGCAGACGACCCAGCGAGCCGCTTCGTTGAACATCGCTACTCCGCCAGTGTCGAGGCACCCCTCAGAGTCCACGCCCACAGCGCCCGCATCACCGACCTTCGCCTTTGGCGAGGACCTCACTCGTTTCCCCTCCGAGTCCCTGCACTCGTTCTCCTTCGCGACCCAATCCGAAGAGTTTATACACAACCGCCAGAATGTGCTGAAGCGCTCCATTGAGTTCATGCGAGACAGGCTCGGCTGGGCTGCGACCAATCCCGGCATAGCCAACGCTCAAGCCAAACTCAGCGGCGATCAAGAAGTGCAGAGCATGATGGAGCTCCTGACCCGGGCAAACCTCATAGGTCAAGACGGCACAGGAGCCCATGGGCTGGGTGCTTTGGGCCCAGTGACAGGACCTGCCGACATGTCTGGCGAGAACCCATTCGAGAAGGGATTCACAGTCGATCGATCAGCCAGCCCAGAGAGCATGCTCGAAGCAGCGAGACCCCCAGTACACAGGGCGACTACAATCGACTTAGCCGATAACAGCAGCACGTCAGACTCTCGAGAAGGACGAAGCTCATCGAGTACCGATTTGACCTCCGACGCGTCGAGCACACGCGTAGCGGCCGCCTCTCCACCTCCACCCTCCTCGCAGCCTGCACGACCCCAACGGGCCGCACTAAAACGTACCCTCACCGACGTCGCGCCTCTCACGATACAAAGTCAGCTCCACGATGCCCTTGCACAGCCATACCGGGTCGGAGACCAGGAGAAGATCGGAGACCTCGTTTCTCCTGCGAGCATACCGACTCTGCCACCAAGTTTCAGCAATGCACCAGGGCCTCACTCTGCGGGCTCAGCGCCGCATGGACACGGAAGTCGACACGCTCCAGCAGCACAGGCCATCTTTACGACCGAGACAGACACGCCGTGGACTATCACATCCGCAAACGACTTGGCATGCTTGGTATTTGGAGTAACAAGGGCGGAGGTCCGTAAGCTGGGCATCCTCGAGGTCGTGCGTGAGGACCGCAGGAAATGGCTCGAGAGCAAGCTGAAGGATCCTGAAAGTGGCTCGAAGAACGCGCCGGCTGGAGTATCGGCTGCCAACAACAATCTCAAGGTCGGCAGCGGTGTCACAGCGCGGTTACTGAGCAAGGCTCCATCACGAGTGACAGCCGCGAGGAAAGCACAAACGGACGACGGCAGTGGATCCTCCTACTACAACGCGAAGAAGACCGGCAAGCTGAACCACGAACACAAGGGCTCAAGGGGCGTCCTACTCTGTGGAGACGTTATTCCGATACAGAAACGCGATGGCTCGACCGGGTCTGCCAGCCTGTGGGTCAAAGAGAAGCGGGGCAGTCTCATATGGGTGCTTGAAGAGATCGCCGAAGACGTCGTGTACATCACGGTCGACGAAACAGGCTGCGTATCCAAGGGCTGGGGCGCAACGGAAGCTGTCTTCGGGAGCGATCGGTTACGGAGGGGCATGGATCTCAAGCGTCTCATACCAGGTATACCACGACTCCGAGGAACAAACACTGGAGTACTAGACTACGACTCCATTGACGAGTTCCGCAGCTACACAGCTCGCACGTCGAACAGCATCAATATACCCGTGACTGTGGAAGCCTTGCCTGGCGAACCTACCTTCCGCATATCTAGCTTCCCTCACATCGCCGGCATCATTGTCCTATCGTCCGACGACCTCAAAATTACGAGTTCCAATTCCGTGTTCTCCGCGGCTCTGTTTGGGCAGCCGCGACCTGAAGGTATCCACGTCAGCAAGCTCATACCCGCGTTCGACAGAATTCTGCACGTCATGACAGACGAGGACAAGATAGAGCTGGTTGACGGGATCGTTATTCCCGAACACAGCTTTCGTCGCGCACGAGCCCTGCTCGCAATGCGGGAAGGTAGTGCAGATGCCGCAGCCATCTTCCTGCGACCAAGTGGTCTGCCAGCCTTACATCGCGACGGATCAGAAATAATGGTTGACGTGCAAATGCGAGTTGTGAAGAGCGAAAAGTCGCCCCGATTTGATGAGAATGTCATTGAAGAGGAAGATGGGTCATCGAAACCAAACAAGGGTCCAGAGCTGGTCTACGCTTTGTGGATAACATACTCCAGGCAACTGCACGCTGCGAACCACGGTATCGGTCCAGTGACTCCCCTTATGTCACGGCCACCCTCACCCCGCCAACCGGAGCCAGGCCAGTCCAGTTTCTCCGTGCCACAAGAACCCGAATCACATCAATCGCAAGGAACACCGCCTACAGTTTCACTCCTCACACAGCAGATTCAAGAAGCCATGCGGCCTAATACTCCGCAACAATCTCAGAAAGGAGCCATGGCACCGCCGCCAGCACCTGCACAGGATGAGCCATCCCAGAAGAAGACTATCAACGATTTTGTAGTGTTGGAGGATATGGGCCAAGGCGCCTATGGGCAAGTCAAGCTATGTCGATACAAGAAGAACAGCAACAAGAAGGTTGTGATCAAGTATGTTACGAAGCGGCGCATCTTGGTCGACACATGGACACGAGACCGAAGGCTTGGAACTGTGCCGCTCGAGATTCACGTCCTGGACTATCTCCGCCGCGACGGCTTTAAACACCCTAACATTGTGGAAATGGCCGATTTCTTCGAGGATGACATCAACTACTACATCGAGATGATACCACACGGTCTACCGGGCATGGACCTCTTCGACTATATTGAGCTACGTGTCAACATGGAAGAGAAGGAGTGCCGTAAGATCTTTGTTCAGGTCGCAGAAGCGGTACATCATCTGCACACTAAAGCGAAGGTCGTACATCGAGACATCAAGGATGAGAACGTTGTCCTCGACGGTGAAGGCAACATCAAGCTCATCGACTTTGGAAGCGCAGCGTACATCAAAAGCGGACCCTTTGACGTCTTTGTAGGCACAATTGGTATGTTCCCCGTCACTCTCGAATCCTTATGGTCATACTAACGCTCCTCAGACTACGCTGCCCCAGAAGTCTTAGCTGGAAAAGCCTACCGCGGTAAAGAACAAGACGTCTGGGCCCTTGGCATCCTCCTTTACACCATCATATACAAAGAAAACCCCTTCTATTCCATCGATGAGATCATGGATCATGATCTCCGCGTACCGTGGGTCATGTCGGAAGAGAGCATCGATCTTGTGCGACTGATGCTAGATCGAAATGTGGAGAAAAGGATTACCATCAGCATGGTGCTTGAGCACCCTTGGTGCAAGGGCGCTGGTGCTGGCAGTGGGGTGGTTGGAGAAGCCGCTTGAGGGCCAAAATACATGGGAACGAATATATGGAACGACTTTACGATCTTTTGCATGCGGCTGGACTAGGACTGGTTATGGGATGGATAAGGTTAGGCGCACTGCTATAGAGCGCTTCTCCTTCTACTTCGAGTTACACACATTGTTCGCAAAATTGCGCCATAGCATTACGGCATTGTTTGGTAGGGCGAGAGATGGAAAAAATGAATACCCAAGATCTTTGTTTTCGTATATGATTGTCTGACAGGGGTTGTGTCATGGAACACGGTGACGCGATAGTTCACCGGCGCCGATCTGCGGGAGGATGGTTCCTTCCCCGTGATGACGTCTGGTACTCGCGACGGGCGACTCCTAACCACGACCTCGACGAGTGCCGATCTCAACCTCGTGTGTTCTCGCGCAAATAGCATTTCCATGCCCCCGTCTGTGTGTATGCTTCCTGATGCGTACCGCCATTCCATGTCAGCGCCACGCTCAGTATAGCGTGGCAAGCAAACAGCAGTACAACCCTCCATGTACTCAGCCTCAGGCGAGGCTGAGGTACCTATCCTCCCTGTTCCGACAAAGACGGGCCTGGGGCCAATAGCAAGGCAACGCCACAGTCGTGCCACACGTTAGGCGTCCAGCCCGAGCCACGAACACCCTGTATCTCAGAATAGATCGAGTGGTTGTCCTCGCGCGTCGTCGCGGAACGTGTCTCGTTATTTGTACTCGCGGTCCAGTCTCCACGTACTATTGATGGTATTGCGACAGATTTTAGGCGTCTATGCGTTGGTTCGACACACCCTAACGATAGTGTAGCGCTTTGACACGATGTTATCCCCGCCGCCTAAGAGTAAGGCTGCTAGTATATGGTCCTTTGATTCGGGGTACGGCTCAGGCACTTTGGAGGATGAGGAGGGGTTCCAGGTACGATCTCATTCACGGAATGTTGTGTGTCGCGCAACTTCTAATGCCGAGCAGTTTGACCAGGCCGGAAGCTCCACGATCTATGGAACGTTGCCTACGTCCCGCAACCAGTCCGATCAGTCAAATCTTGGCGGACCTGTGAGCCTTGAACTGGGAGACGAAATTCGCGCGAGAGCAATCACCAACTCGACTGAGCCTCAGGCTACGGGAATCGACGTGTTCACGGCGAAAGTTCGCACTAGCGACGATTCATTGGTGCCGACGCAGAGTGATGGTATCGACTGCCTCCGATGTCAGCTTTGGAACATCATCAACCCCGACGGGAACATTCAATGCGACGACTGCACGAGTGAAAGATTCGAGACGCTTGAGGTTGTACTAGGTACTGCTGCAATACCAAAGACGACGAATCTGGCACCTCGACATACCGCTTTAAAGGTGACTCCGTCGGAAGACTTCTCCCAACCCAAGAGTACCGGGCGATGCTCTGCATGCGAGATCTCGGCACTCATTCACCCAGGCCAGCCCGTCAATTGTGCTTCTTGCACTCTGAACACGGGCTTGCTATCTCCAACTCCGTCAGACCAGCCATCAAAGGTCAAACGTTCTTGCGCCCGACGGCCACCCACCAAGCTCGAGTCGCATGCGACGCGATGTCTGCAAGGATGGCTGAAAGAACACCGAAACGATCCGTATCCAGACACCGAGACCAAGCGTTCACTAGCCGAAACATGTGGTATCACTGAGAAGCAGGTTACTACCTGGTTTACTAATGCGCGAGCGCGAAGAAGGGTCCTGGATGCGAAATCGTCTAACCCGGCCTCGGAAGATGAAGGAGCTCGGAATACTCGACTTTCTAGCGTAATATCCACAGTGCTGCCGCACCGAGAAACCTCATCAGGCTTCGAGGCACCATCCGATCGTCGGTATTCGGTCACGTCTCATTACACAGGTGACGACTCCAGCCATACGAACACAACTACATCTAGGCGAGGCAAGAAGAAGGATTATGGCCAGTCTGTCAACGTACCTACTTCGGTCTCCAAAGCGCATTCGTTCGCATCCAAATCACAACTTCCATCTACCGATGATGTCGATAGCGAATCGCAGACGTGGCAGTGCACCTTTTGCTACCAACATATCGCGCGTAAATCCTGGCGCCGCCATGAGGAAACCCAGCATCGACCTAAACGAAAGTGGACATGCTTGCTCACTGGCCCTAGTCTCACCATATCGTCTCGTTCAGATGCGTCTACGTCGTGTGTGTTCTGCATGGCAGCGAACCCCAGCGACAAGCACTTCGCCGAATGCCACCGCGTAGCTGAGTGCATGGCCAAGGACGAAAGCGAAAGAACGTTTCTGCGACCCGATCACCTGCGTCAGCACGTCAAGAACTTCCACAAAGCGAAATTAGATGAGACCACCCGCGATCTCTGGAGACGAGAGGGCCTAGGTAATCATGCCGTGGAGAACTGGGTTTGCGGTTTCTGTGCGAAGGTGCTGAAGACATGGGATGATCGTGAGACGCACGTCGCGAACCATTTCAAGGATGGCCTGACGATGGCGCACTGGAAAAGGAATGCGCAGCCAAATGCTGGGATTGAGGCGAGCAGGAAGAGGCCGACTTCGAGCGAAGGACGGCCGAATGTGCTCTCGAAGTTGGCACGGACGCTTACTTTCCGATCATCGCGTGAGCAGCATCACTACGAGTCGCAGAGTCAGGCCACTGATGCTTTCGATACTGCACTGCCATTCACCCACGCGCCTGAGTTGGATGCACCTCTTTTGCCGGAACTTGTCTTCGACGACTTCATGGCGGGCGTTGGTGACGGCGATCTCAATTACAGCGACACGATTCTTGCTGGCGCGTATGGGCACGACTTTGCTTCTACTGGACGGCATGATTCCGCATTTCCAGACGAAGAAAATGCGGGGTTTGACTTTGGCGATCTGACGGATGGGTTCGTCAACCAAGAGTTTGGGAATGGGGATGCCTTTGGGCTTTGGTATCAATAGGCGGTACCTTGGCTTGCGATGCTCAGAGCGCGAGAACGTCTGGGCAGTGTCGAAGCTCGCTGGGTGTATGTTCTGCTTACCTAGAGCGCAACAAAGCCAGTTAATATTCCACAAGGACGAAGGAACTCGTTTCGCGAGATGCACATAGATGGAAATGAGGCCTGTGAAGCGTGGAGGCACTGCAGCCACCTTTCCAGATTCAACCATGACGTAGCTTCGAGCTTTTTCGGCCTAGCCGGATCCTGCAAAGCTCAGCCTGCCCGCACGCGTATCATCCGCAACGCCCAGGACATTTCCCGTCTTTGCCTTCCAGCACGTATCATCGTGTCGCGTTCGACCGAAACACAACTATTGCGACGTGACTGTTCGCGTGTGGGTCGTGATTGCCTTCACACGCAGCTCCAGCCGTACACCAAAGCTGTGCTAGACTCGTTGACTCACCTCCAATCAGCAACTTCACCTTGCAAGCTATTCGGGAGATTCATATGATCGTACCAACGGCTACTTTCGTGTTACTTGCTGAGCGACGATGATATCGATGAGTCAGTCCCTGAAGAACATGGTTTGGGGTCTATTAGCGCGCTGACCCCTCGCACAATGTTGCTGTGGTTCGTTCCCATACTTGAACCGATGAGTCTTCCTAGCATACGAAATGAGGGAATAGCGTGACCTAAACGTAGGTGCAGATAACGTAAGGGAGTACTTATAACAGCAGTATCTCGTTCTAGGTACAGCCTCCATGGCTTCTACAACACCGACCCCGATGCCGACCTCCAGTATCGTGCCAAAGCACTATTGCACACAGCTCCAATCACCACTCTATCGCCTGCCTCGCGAACTTCGGGATCAAATCTATGAGTACTATCTGTCTGAGGAAGATGGATATCACTACGATAGTTCGGTTAAGAAGTTCCTTTATCAGAGTCCTTCCACAACGCCCAAACCACTGGTGATACGACTCGGTCTCCGTATCACGTGTCGCATCGCCAGTGAGGAGATGAGGAGCGTTGCTTTTCCTCAGCTCAACTTCCATGGAGCGCAGTCAATGGAAGACGAAACCGGATACCAAGGACTCCATTCGCGGGCGGGCCGCTTCGAGTGCTGTAGGTACCACAGTAACTGATTTCCCATTTTGAGCGCTTACATTGCCTTAGTATTGACTTACGTCGAGCGCCAGAGATGTCGCATGCTCGTACGTGTCGCGCCACTTTTGAAACATGGAGACTTTCAGGAGTTATGCACTCGCTATCCAACTGTCAAGACGTGGTTCAACGAACCTTTGCAGAGAGCAATCGCGAATCAAACCGACGAATTGGGCGGCGAAGACATCCTTGATCAGAACTTTAGCGACGCTCTTCACCGTGCGTTGGTTCTTGCAAAAACTCAATCCCCCTCAGAATTCGTGGACTTGGCCTGTGCCACGTTCGGCGCAGGTGCTTGCCCCGTTCGTCACACCGCAATGTTTCTGAAACGCCACAATCTTTTCGTGGAGAGTGCTCTCCCCGAAATAGTCCATTGGCAGCCCAGACCATGGTGCATCCCGGAGCACGGCGAGCTATCTAACATTGAGGCTCTGATCTGTCAACCCAGAGACTCGGATGTTGACCTGCACATAACCAAGGATGGAGATCGCTGCTTTCGGGATATCGCAGCTCACTCATGGGCCACGCGTCAGCGGTGGTATTTCACGGCTGCGGCTGTAGCAATCGACTTCTGTAAGCCGGTCTGAACCTTTATACAAGCACAAGCTGCTAACATAGGCAGTACAACGTTCGTCGAAACAACAGAGAGAGAATATGCGCACCGTGGTCCTTAGAGAAGATTTCAAAGCTGTATCCCGCCCAGAGTCTCATGGTCGCGGTTTTATCCCCTTCTGTCTCGAATGTCCGAAGCTTCGCATCGTCAGACGAATCGGCCTTATGAACAACTTACTGCCAGCTTCCTTCTCTCAACCAGCAGCTCATCAACGCGATATCATTCTGGCCAGCCATTGCCTTACTGTGCTGGTCTCTTGGATTGAAGAAGCCACTTCGTTAGCTTCACAAGGGATGCCAGCACATTCCTTGGAGCTGGTCATCGACGGACATTGCGAAGAATCAATGGAGGCCTGGAAGTTACTAAAACACGCAGCAGCTACCCAAGAGGCTCTACTCAGGCAGTGTCGAGCAAACGGGAAACAGCCGAGAGCAAGACCGGCACCACTAGATTACGACTCTCCTTTCACCGGATCATGGAGCCTTCCTGCAGGGTTTGCACAAATGATTCGAGACATTGTCGAAGGTAAGTCTCCTGTCCGATATGACGGGGATGTTGGCGAGCTCTGGGATTCGGAAGAATTCTACATGGAGCGGGAAGCCTGGACAGAAGATGATTGGGCAGATGAATGGGAAGGACAAATGTCACGAGTAATCTCAACACAAGGGTGGCCGTCAATATCCAGGAAGTACTGCCATGAGCCTCAAAACTGAGTAAACTTGCATACGCTGCAGTCAGGCTCCACGTCATTAGTTTTTGGGGTTCCTTACGTAGCTTGAGAAAAACACTATGCCGATTGTCTTTTTGGCGTCTGGACTTTTCCCAGTAGGGTTTGCACGAATGATTCGAGACATCGCAGAACGTAAATCTATGGTTTACTACGATGGGGAAGTTGGTGAGCTCTGGGATGAGGAAGAGTTCTTCCAGCAGCGAAAAGATTGGACAGATGATGACTGGGAAGAGGATTGGAAAGTGAAGGTTACATTTACGGAGGCTATCGCCACGGACTGCTGGCCTTCTATTTTCGACAAGTACAGTAACCGGTCTGAGGTTTGAGCAAAAACGGTCATCGCGCGCAACCATTAGCTGCCGCGGTGTCTTTTATAAAGTAGCTCTTGAACTCATTGTATCCAAAATACTCGTCAGCCCACTTCACACGCATCGTGTATGTTAGAAGTCTTGTACACATCATCTCCGTATTGTGGGGCGGCCACTACCGCTTCTGCAGTCATATCATGGATAGGTTGAATCGAACCTTTTTTTCGGTCAACGTCGATCATCTGCTGATAAGAAATGATTCAATCATATCAGGCCTCTAATCATAGAACGTTGTGGCTCTCTGGACCTATCCTCAAGCATGAGTCATGGCGCCATCCTAAACTTTGGTAGGGGTTCGCCGCGATCTTGTGCGAGCCACGGTTTTGATAACCTTACCAGACAATATCAAGAGGAGTCATGGCCACGTCACAATACTCCCCTCGTTTATGTGTGCTAAGAATGTTCCTTTCCTACGCTTCGCAAATCTATCACCATGGCTTTTACACCCGTTGCCAGGCCGTCTGGCAAGTTTGCGCATTGGAATACGTTCCCTTTCATGACCGCCCCGAAAACTAAATATTACTCCGCTCAACTCCAGTCGACACTCTTTCGTCTTCCTCGAGAGGTTCGAGATGTTATTTACGAATACTACCTTCTCGAGAATGACGGTTACCACTACGACAGCGAGATCGATAAACTGCTGTACCACAAGCCGTCAATATCGCCTAAGCAAGTCGTTCGGCTAGGTCTACGGATCACATGTCGAATCGCTGCAGAAGAGATGAAAGACAGTGCCTTCGGAATAATCCACTTTTACCCCAAGCGTTCTTCAGATGACGGCGGGAAATACATGAACGTTCGTTCGAGGGCAGGGCGCTTTAGGTGCTGTTAGTGATATTCCTATCTACCCTATCCATAACGAAACTCTAACTGAGGCACAGTATTGAAGTATGTCGAGCGACAAAAGTGTCGCATGCTAGTATGCGCTGCCGAATTACTACAACCTGACGACCTGATCGACATAGACCGCCGATTTCCCACCGTTAAGCACTGGTTCCACGCACCTCTGAACCACGCAGTTACACATCGAACGGACGAGCTTGGTACATCAGATGACAGTTGCAAAGAAGTCCTTAGCCAGTCATTCAGCGATGCTCTCCAATATGCACTGGTGCTAGCGAAAAACCGACATCCGTCAAGATTTGCAGAGCTTGCACGTGAGACTTTCGGCATCGGTGACTGTCCCATCAGATCGACTACGTTAGGTTCCGTGCAGAACAACCTATTCGCACAGGGAGCTCTATCTGACATATATCACTGGCATCCTGCGCCATGGTCCATCCCGGGAGATGAAGAGTTGTCAAAGCTCGAAAGACTCATTTGTGAGCCTGGCGAGTCGGACACTCTGCTCCCAACTACAGACGAAGGCGTCTTCTACTTCCCCGATATCACAGAGCATTTCCATGCTGCGCGTTACCGTTGGTACTTTTCTGCTGCCGCTGTGGCGATTGAGTTTTGTGAGTTCAATCCAGCATCTATTTTTGAGTCACCTGATCCATTGGGGCTACAGTGGACGGTTGCGAGACGCTATTTACTAACTTGATGATAGTTCAGGGCATATCCAAACAACGCAGGGCCAAATTCCGATCAGTCGTACTGAACGAAGACGTCAAAGCCGTGTCCAGACCAGAATGCCACGCGCGCGGCCTTATCCCATTCTGTCATGAGAATCATCGACTTCGTATTGAGAGACGAATCAGCTTGCTTACAAATCTCCTTCCACCAGGCTCTGATTATGTGTCTGGCTACGAAGACGAGTTCATTTACAGTGAAGACTGTTTCCAAGTGCTGCTTCCGTGGATTGAGGAAGCACTTCTGCTACCTTCCTTCGGGATGCCTCTGCCGTCATTTCAACTTGTTGTAGATGGCGATGCAAGGGAATCTTCAGAATTCTGGCACATGCTTAAATATGCTGCCGCTACGCAGCAGGCCCGACACAAGCAGTTGCAACTCAGCGGTACAGACCTGCCCACAGGTGAGTTGCGCCCGATGTATGATGGTGATTATGCAGTTTGGGACTTCCCTCCAGGATTCGCAAGCATGGTCCGCGATATCTGTCAGGGTAACTCAATCGTAAGGTATAATGGAGACGTGGGCGAGCTTTGGGACGAAGACACATTCTTCTCCGAAAGGAAGGATTGGACAGAATTGCAATGGGAGACGGACTGGAATGAGACCATCGACCAGGGCATCGTCTCGAACTTCTGGCCGAAGGTTTCAGAGCGTTATCTCAAGGGACGCTCCCCATACTAGCGCATGATTTTTCCATAGCAAGCCAGGTTGCTCGAATTCCAGCGGTGACCGGTAAAATGCGGTTGTGAGATTTGACCGAGTTCTCTTTATTCAGACGACTGGCCGCGTTGCCCCCATAATGTGTTTTGGAGTGCAACGCATAGAAAAGCATATCTGTAGTGCGCGTGGTATGCGAATACTAGGTATGGCATAGTCCATACCCATTCGCTTGTAGTTCTTCCCTGTTCCATTGTACCCAGGTAGGATAGGAACCTGTCGCCGTGCGCGCGGACTGACAGCGTACGAAAACGAGTCATTGTATACGATATCCTGTCCAGCGCATCTAGAGCTGGCCGTGGAACTGGCAAAAGCGGGACGTAAAAGTGTACAGAGTCCGTCGCGTATGGGAAAAGTCCTCTTCTCGATGGAGTCCAAGTCAGGACCAGGCGGCGACGGCCATCCTGGGACATTCGTCGTCCAACAGGCGCTTGAGGTCTTGTCGTTGCGCAATATTCCTAGGTAGTCTGAGTCATATCGTACCGTCCAAACCAGTAGATTCTCTAGTCATCTTAGACGAACCATAAACCACTCAAGTCACGTGTTACCCTGACTCCGATCCAAATTAACGGCGTGCTTGCGACTCATCCCAATCAAGCCTGTGTGAGTCAAGGTATCAAGATAGGCAAACCGAGAGTCATCGTCTCGACTTTTAAAGTATATATGAAGCAGCATCTGTAGCATCTTCCATTCATCAACCATGTCGGACAAAACGCCGACTACGCGTTTCGCGCACTGGAACAAATGGCCGTTCATCAACGTGAGATCGAACCAACTCCAATCGCCCTTCTTCCGATTATCACGCGAGATCCGAGACAAAATCTACGAATACTACGTCGTCGCCGAGAATGGCTACTTCTACAACCCGGAAACCCGGAAAATGATGGATGGTCACCCCTCATCCACATCGCCAAAACCACAGGTTATCAACATCAACTTGATAAGGACTTGTAAGATTGCGGCCGCAGAGATGAAGGGGTTGGCATTCGAGCGCAATGTGGTCATATTCCACGCTATGTGCTCCGTGGACGACGGACATGGGTACATGAATCTCAACTCACGGGCTGGACGCTTCAAAACTCGTACGTAAACTCCGAGTGTGAAAAGTGTCTTGCCAACTGTGACTTTTTAGACTGACTTTCCGGTGGTAGTTCTCAAATGTCGCCAAATCCAGAGAGTCCGTATGCTTGTTTGCACCGCCTCATTACTGACGAGGGCCGACTACGCGACACTTGCTCAAGAGTACCAAGACTTTGCGTTTTGGTTTGATGGTCCCTTGCACTGGTCTGTCAGAGGATGTACAGATGGGTTGAATATGAAAGAGATGGACAATCATATCGACTCTTTGTTTGTCAATGGAGACTTCGATAAAGCTCTCCAACTTGCACTTGAACTCGCCAAGGCTCGCAATCCTTTTGCTTTCGCAAGACATGCTGTGCAGACCTTTGGAGATGAGTGTCCTCAGCTTCTTCGTGCCTCACATGAACCAAAACGGGGAAATCTCTTTTCCGAGGGATCTTTGTGTGAGATTCTCGGATGGAAGCCTGAGCCATGGCATATACCGTGCCATGAGGAACTTGCGTCTATCGAAGCGCTATTATCAATCAGAGCCGTGGGAGGCATGCATACCTTCTATTGCGCACGGAATACTAAGTGGTACTTCTCCGCTACAGCAGTAGCTATCCAGTACTGTAAGTTTTTCATATCAAATGCTGCCAAACGTCTCTGACACTGCTGCACAGTGGAAACGATGAATCCAAGAGTACGCATGTCACTACGCAAGATCGTGATAAGAGAAGACTTCAAAAGCGTTTCCAATCCAGAACTCCACGCCCAAGGTCTCATTCCCTTCTGTCGCGAGAATATGAACCTCCGGATTACTCGACACATCAGTCTTTTCAAATCTATGCTTCCAGTGCATTCCGGCGGGCAAGACGACCGACGAAGCGAATACTACGACTGTGATGTTATCCAGGGCGCGGAATGTCTGGAAGCGATGAAACACTGGATACAAGCAGTATCTTCAGTCCACACACTTGGAATGCCGAAAGAGAGCTTCTCACTGTTCTTCGACAACAGTGTGGCGGAAGGCGACTGGGTCTAGAATGCGGTCGTCATGCGCGCAAGAGCCCTGCAAGAAGTCTCTAAAAAATGGCTTCGCGCATCCCATAATCATCCCAGGCCCTACAATGGTACAGGTTTGAGTCCCTATCAAACCTTGTTAAACCTCCCATCAACATTTGAGGCCAATGTTCGGAACATCGCAGAAGGAAACTCAATCATGCGGCTGACGTCGGGCATGAGCTCAGTCGAGATTGAAGCCACAGCTCTGAACTTGGAGTACTATAAGCACTTCACCGCTGAAACCTGGGAGCATCAATGGCAAGTGACAGTGCTGTGTCTGAGCTTGAACACGGACTTCTGGAGACGTTTACATCCGAAGTACAGCATCGAGCCGGCGGGCTTCAAGAGAGTAGTAACAACGGTCAGGAGGATGTGTGGACGGGCGCTGAGCAACGGTATGTCGACGTAATCGGTTGGACGGTAGGAATTGTTTCTGGCAGCATATCGGTGGATTGATGGAGAACGGGAAGTACGGCCGTCATGGCACGTCATTGGGGAGGCGGGTCGTCGTATTAGCTGCGCTGCGGCCATCATGGATTTGAAATATGGTATCGATAGGGACCTGGTGCCTTCAGATCACAAACCCCTCTACGGGAGGCAAGAGAACTATAGCGCGAGCCATATTCCTGAGAGCTATACTATAAGCCGCTTTGCCCCATTGTCATGATATATAGGTCTGCCTCCCTCTCCGGAAAGGGCGCGTCGTGCCGTCAGCCCGGGTTGATGGTATGCTATAAATGCCTGGGTAGGCCGTAATCGGGTTGCGCGTCTTCGACCGGGTGTGCGTAGGCCGTATGTCGAAGGGTGAGGGATGTGGATGGCGTGCGGAGCTCATTATGCGTGGACAGCGTTCTCGTCTTCGTCGCGGTTCAAGGGTGAGTTCGGGCGAAAGCCATCGCTGAGATTGCGAGCGGTCTGCAAGAGCGCTTGCAACGTGAGTACCTAAGGACGTTTGCAAGATCAGACTCAACGAGCGAGTGAGGTCATGGTCTGAGGAGGAGAGTGAGCCGCGATGTTTGCCTGGGTGGTGGAGCTCCGTGCTCCTGAAGAGGCTGGGCACCACCTGGGCAGGCTCGCGCCAACCGGTCCGCACCAGACCGACCATCCATCTGTTCGTTCGCGCCGCGCAGAATCATCATCACCCAACAAATACAGCTTTGCTGTTGATGGGCATGTCGCTCACACTCAGACATCAATTCTACAGCCACCGATAAGCCATTGCACTGAAGCTGAATGGTGCCCAGGCGATCAGCCAATGGGCACACACTTCAACCCGATGAATCCGCTTACGACCAGCAAGCCATAGTTTGGTACCACGGTGCATCCGTCTTGGGAGTCATCGGCAAAAACCAGAAAAGATATGAAGGCGCAGTATAAGATGCCGGGCAGTCGCAATCACCATCTGCATGGCACCTGATACACCCAAGATGGCTTTCAATAAGAGAGGCCCCAATAACTTTGCGCACTGGAATATGTTCCCCTTTATGACGACACCGAAGACGAAGTACATTCTCGGGCAAAAACAATCACCGCTTTTCCGGCTCCCACGAGAGATACGGGATACTATCTACGATTATTATGCTCAGGGCCGACCACAGTATGTGTATGATAAGAGAACGGGAAAGCTAGGTCACTTCGATTCGTCAGCCCAGAAAGAAGGTCTCGGACTCATGATAACCTGCAAGATTGCTGCAGACGAGATGCAGCACGTCGCTTTCCAGAATGTTGAGTTTAGCACGCTTTGCTCTGTGGACGATGGCGCAGAATTCCAGCAACTCCGGTCAAGAGCCGCTCGATTTTGCCAGAGTAAGCGTCGAACGTCGATGGATGAGCTTGAAATTATACTGACGTACTTGCTAGTATTTGATATGGTTCAAGTTCAAAGACAATACATGCTGATCTGTGTCGCGGAACTGCTCGAGGCGTCAGATCTTACTGAAATAAGAGCTCGTTATCCAGTCATCGAAGACTGTCTTGAAGGACCTCTGAAGCAAGCAGTTACGCGAAATATCAATATACTATCGCAATATATGGATATGAGTTTGGACAATCATGAGTCTCAAGAGTTTGTAGAAGCTCTTGTGCTCGCGCTCGACATGGCGAAGAATCGAGATTCAACCAAGTTTGCGCAGCTCACACGAGGAATCTTTGGAAACATTATCTGCCCGGTGGGCAACCTTCGAGGTATGGGCCAGTACAATATCTTCGTGGAAGGGGCGTTACACGATGTACTGTATTGGAGGCCAACCCCTTGGTCCATTCCCACGGACAGCGAGCTTGCCAGGATGGAAGGGCTCGTTTGCCGGCCAGAAGAAGACAAGACCTTGATTTACAACTGGTGCCATGTGGAGGATCCTCGCCAACTTTGCAACAGTAGATACTACTTCTCAGCTGCTGCAGTAGCGATCGACGTTTGTAAGTGCTATCCCAACTCATTGATCTCCCAAGTCCCTCACCACAGCACTTTTTATTGTAAAACTGGAATCCTCACACGGAATGAGCTTTCTGACGCATGTCGCAGTGCATCAAATCCCCCCCGAAAGGCTGCGCAATCTGGGTAAACTCGTCCTCCACGAAGACTTCAAGTCGATGCCGCGCTCCGTATGCCATGTACGAGGTCTCATTCCTCTGTGCCAGGCGAATCCAAAGCTTCGGATCGAAAGACACATCGATCTACTGGCCAACCTCCTGCCTTTGGGCCATCCAGACAGCCACTATGCCGGATATGACTCCATTGCTGGATCTGATGTTTTAGATGCTATTATTCCATGGCTAACGGAGGTCTACCTACTTCATACCCATGGGATGCCAGCAGGCTCTTTTCGGCTCGTCATCGATGGTCACTCGCGCGAATCTCTCGAGGCTTGGAACATTCTCAAATATGCGGCAGCCATGCAAGAAGCCATGCTGGAACAATGCCGAGTCAAGAATACGTGTCCAACGTCCAGATTGTTCGACCGTCGCTTTCTATGCCGCATTGGCTTGCCATGGCATCTACCGGATGGGTTTTCTGACACTATTCGCGCGGTGATTGACGGTACAATCAACATCACCTTCACTGGAGACGTGGGTGAGATGTGGGATCAGGACACTTTCTTCTTTGAGAGACGAGACTGGACAGTAAACGAATGGGAAGAAGAGTGGAAAGATGAGGTTTGGATCAAAGAGATTTCAACCGATTATTGGAAGCGGATCAATGCTCGATATCAAATAGACCCTCAAGGTTTCGGCCATATCTATCGGACAGTCTACAAGGGTGAGGTCATTCGCAGCAGCGACCGACCGTTGTAAGGGTACTCGCAGACCTGCTTGTAGACTGCGAGAGCAGCTCGATGTAAGTCGCATAGGCAACTGCAAGGATGACTTCACACTTCGGATAGCAAATCAATCAATTGCACTAATCTATGCGTATCTCCCTTCAACGACCTCCATGTGCATATGATAATTGACATGCTTTGTCATTCCAAAGGCGGCCCGCCTCGCTTGCAGCGCATTGCGCGATGCGTCTAGCCAGGAACCAACTCTCTGCCCCTCCAAAAACATTACCAACCTTATTCTCTGCCACAGCGTCGCATCACCCACGTCTCCTACACCCACTGCAGTCGCTCTTTCCTCCTCGAACCTCCACTCAATGACCGCACCCACGCACCTCGATCCCAGCGAACTGGGCACGAAATCCTACTGGGACGCCGCCTACGACACCGAACGCCAGAACTTTGCCGCAAACGCCGACGACGAAGGAACAATATGGTTCAGCGACGCGGGTGCCGAGGAGCGCATGTTGTCTTTCCTTGAAGACTTCAGCGACGAGGGCCACATATACAAGGAGGACGATGGGGACGACCAGAACGCGGCGCGGTTCCTAGACCTGGGAACAGGCAATGGGCATTTGCTGTTTGCGCTGCGCGAGGACGAGTGGAACGGCGAGATGGTCGGTGTCGATTACTCTGCGCAGAGTGTCACGCTTGCCACGTCGATTCGCGATGCGAAGGATGAATCTTACAAGGACATCGCGTTCCATGAGTGGGATATTCTGTCGCAAGCACCGGGCACGTGGCTAGGTGCTGGCTTCGATGTCGTACTGGATAAGGGCACATTTGACGCCATCTGCTTATCACAAGAAGAGGATGCGCAAGGTCGCAGGATATGCGAAGGATACAGGGAGAAGGTCGAGCCTCTCATGAAGAAAGGCGGCAGGTTCCTCATCACAAGCTGCAATTGGACAGAAGAAGAGCTCAAGGGCTGGTTTGGAGGCGGAGAGCTGGAGTTTGAGGGCAAGGTCAAATATCCCAGCTTCACGTTTGGAGGCAAGACGGGCAGCAGTGTGGTTACACTGTGCTTCAAGAGGGTGTGATTCAGCGCACTATCTGCTGACAGGAAGAACTACTACCATTACTACTGCCGAACAGCCCGCCGTATCCGCGCGAGAACGAGCCACTTCTTCCGCTCGCCCATGTTCTCCGTACCACCGTCGCGCTCTTTCGCCCACGGCCGCCGCTGCCCGTTAACGTCCATCTCGTACATCTCCTCGATCTCGAGCCCTTGCTCCGGCACCACCTCCTCGAAGAAGGGTGCGACTTTGGCACGTCCTGTATGGAAGCCTGCGATACAATATATACGTGCGGATGGATCGTCGGATAGGAAGTGCAGCATCGACTTGGCCAGGCTCTCGTGCTCCCACGGCATCCAGAGACAATCTGCAGCGAGAATGCGCGTGTAGCGGTTCGCGTGCGAGGTCTCGAAGGGTGTGCTTGTGGAGCCCCATTGATGACCTTCGACGGTCACATTGGGCTTGAGATGCGCTGGGACGTTTTTCGCGACGTTCGTTCTGAGGGTATCGAGGATAGGAGCGGCAGGATAGTCGGTGATGGCGACCTAGCGGATTGTCAGTGAGCTCCATGCAGATTCTGAGTCTGAGCATGGACGTACCTCTTTTGCTCCCGCCAATGTACTCAGAATCCCGCCCAATCCTACGCCTGCGAGCATATATTCCATCAGTACTCTCTTCTGCACCTCTCTTTACTCAGCCCGACCCACCTGCACCCAACTCCAACACCGTCTCGCCCTCGACACTCCACTTCTTCTCCTCTTCCTTGTCTGTCCACCATGCGCCATCTCTCCAGCCCTCCTCATCCTCGTGCAGCCCCTTGCCACTTGCACCCAGGTCGCCGCCCTCCACTCGCCCGCTGACTAGTTCTGCCATCATGACGCCGGCATTCCATAAGTAGTGCGCAAACTTTCTTCGTTCTTCTTCGCCATTCACATCTGCGACCCTGATCTCCTGCTCTCCGAACTTGGCATTGCGATACAGAATTACCGTGCTCGGATCGTCGCCATGCTGGTTCTGTGTATCGTCGGTGAAGATGCCGCCGAGGGAGGACCCAAAGATATCTTCAGGCTCGAGTGGCGTGTTGGCTGGGCGGCGGAGGTTGATCAGCGAAGGAAGCAGCATTGCGAGGGTTGGCGTACGGAGGTCTGGTCGGGCGCGGGCTGGGATCCTTTCTTAGGCGGGCTGAAGGATTGTCGCACGACGCCATGATGCGCAATGGAGGGGCTCGCGAAATCTTTAGCGGGGCAGACACGCCAGGCTGTAGATGGGATAGTGCACGGGTAGCATGCAGGGTCACCGCATGGCTCCGACATGTCGTGAGATCATCATTTGCCGAGGCTGCTGCTCGTGGCGCTCTGAAACGCCGAGTTTCCTGCTCACTCCTACTCTCCTCTTCATTGACAACACGATTGACTGACTGACAAGCCACAATCACCAACATGTCATTCTCCTCATTCAAGAATCCGGCGACATACCATCTGCTCAGGTACCAAGCTACATTACCAGCACTCGACGCCCAAGATCCTCTAACACAAGCACAGCTATGGCACCCTTCTGGGTTCAACGCTCTTCCAGTCCTTCGTCTCAGGCATCGTAGCCTTCCGCGTCCTCCCTCGTCCTCAATTCTCCACGCTCCAGAAGCACACATTCCCCGTCTACTTCACACTACAAACCCTCACTCCCGTCGTCATGCTGCTCACGTACCCACGCGGCGGAGCATCGTCCTTGCTACCATTCCTCTCTTCCTCGCCCATCCCGCCGACGGCAACCGATAACCTGAGTTCCTGGCTGCACACCACAATGTTTCTCACGGCGCTGGTCAACTGGGTATACGTTGGACCCAAGACAACGGAGGTCATGGGGCTAAGGAAGCATCAGGAGACGAGGGATGGGAAGAAGAGCTATGATGCCGGGCCGCATAGTAAGGAGATGCAGGCCCTGAACAAGCAGTTCGGCATTCTGCACGGCGTCAGCAGTCTGGTCAACATGGTGGGATTGGGAGCTATGATCTGGTACGGTGCAGTGCTGGCTGATGGGTTGAGCTTGTAGGATCTTGAGGATGCTGTAAATACTGGACGGAAAGGTCTTTGAACGAGAAAAAGATGTAAATACGAAGCATGTGCTGCCTATACGTGAAGAGGAGGATGGTGAAGAAACTGAGAAAGTACTAGCTACCCGGATACTCATGCATACGATGGTGCAATCGCATCATTGAATAATGAGCACACGGCGCGTCTACTTCATCATACCACAAACGCCAATGTTTTGACACCAGCAGCTATATACTGACCCTCTCTCTGTACGACCCCATGTCCTTACTTTACAGTCGTCTATTCCAGACGCTGCGTCATGGCGATCGCACCTCTAGAACTGAGCTCAGCCAAACCCTCAAACTTCAACACCGACGCACATCCGCAGGCTCAGAAAGACGCAACAAATGATGGTCGAGAAGCAGTACAATACCGACAACTCATCTCTCGAGCTGTAACACAGCGTCTGCATTCGCCATCCCTCGAGGACCTCACGATGACCAAGGCGGGCGACGCACCCGTACGTTCCCTAGAAGAATGGGAGCTGCAAGAGCGCTGTATCGCACGGAGTAAAGCCCGGATTGAGGCCGAAGAGCTGGGTATCCCATGGAGTAAGACCGCCCATGTTCTCGCATGCACCCGTTCGCCTCATCCGATGTGCATTACAAGATCTGACAGCTAATAGAACAATTCATCCACGAAGTCGAAAGCGCCACTCTGCAAGTCCACGTCCTCACCCCAACTCGGTACGAAGTGCCGCCGAAAAACATAGACTCGAACCAAGAGGCGATTACACAGAACGAGGAGATGACATACAGATTTGGCGACTCCAAAGATGAAGCGCGTGATCAAGAGTGGAAGACAAAAGACGCTGCTGTGTACAACATGTTGAAAGCTTTTCGGGGCGCGCGTTCGGGTCGCTGAGTAGGACCGCCCAGCTTCGCTTGATCGGGGTGTTGTCGTAAGTGTGGAAACGCGACACTGTCCTTTAGCCACCCTGATGGCACTCTAATGTTGATAGTATTTGTTAGGTTGCTGTTTTTCGTCAAGATGCGCGGTGTGTCCATTCGCCAAGTGGAGGTGCATGGTGGTTGGCCATCATGGTTCGCGGGTAAATGGTGTCTTATATTAAGCTTAAACAATCAAGCTGTTCCAAACACGGCTTGCTCATCCTTCAGTTTCAAGCTTTTCAAGCCGAAAGTCTTAACAAACATGGTGTATCCAGCGGCGAGGATGTTGAGGTCACTAACCATTGCATTAGCCTCTGCAGGGCTGGTGCTCAGCAACCCCATTTCGAGTCCCAGAACATCTTCAGAGACTAGGGACGTCAGCCGCACCAAACCGTTGCTACAAGACTTCGACGCTCTTGGAGCATGGTTCGACGGTGTCGCGGCGATCAACACAACCACCTCTGCCTCCTCATCCAAGAAGAATGCGACCATCGCGATAGTCGGCGCCGGAATCTCTGGTCTCGCTACGGCACTGATGCTTGACAGCGTTGGTGTGCACAACTGGGAGATCATCGAGGCAAGCGACCGGGTCGGAGGACGGTTCCGGACCAAGTACGTTGCTGGAACGCAAGAATGGGCAGAGATGGGTCCTATGCGGCTTCCTCACTCGATTACATACAAGGATGGAGAGACCATCGAATACAGCGACCATCAAATGGTATTCCAATTGGCCGAGATGCTCAACGAGATGAACGCAAACAATCCGCATTACAAAGTCGACTTCATCCCATGGGTTCAGCATCATCCCAATGAGATCCTCGGCCTTGGAACTGGCAGACTTCCAAACGGACAACTTCCGACGCGAGCTGAGATTCAAGCAAACTTGTCTCTTGGGCGACCAGCACCATTGGACACGCAGGAGTACACCGAAACCAAGCAGCGCATGAACGAGCTTCTGAAGTCAAAGGACAGACTCAAGGCCGTGCAACGCGACGTGTGGCGCGAACACAAGAAGGCCATGAATCAAGGTCTCGACGACTGGAGCGAGCAGGCCATGATGCGCCACGTCTTTGGCGCAAGCGAAAACGTCACAGACGCCATCTGGACAGCGAGCGACTACGACGTCTTCTGGGATGAGTTAGTGCACAACTCGAACCTTGCGCAAGATGGCGGACCGGATGCATTGGGCACGACTGAGTGGAAGTGTGTAGACGGCGGCTTTAACAGACTGTCTGATGCATTCCTTCAACATGTCAGCGACCGTCTCACCCTCAACCGTAAGATCAGAAAACTGGAGGCTGTTGAAAATGCCGAAGGTCGCACACGCACGAAACTGTCGTGGTATCCCAGCGTCAGTAACCGAACATATGAGTCGAAAGAGTACGAATACACAATCATGGCAGTGCCATTCACCATGACACGCTTCATGTCGCTTCCGAAGTTCTCCTCCGTACTCAGTCGCGCGATTAGCGAAGCTGGCCTCCGCTTCAAATCCGCTTGCAAAGTAGCGCTGCTCTTCAAAGAACGTTTCTGGGAGAAGGGCGATCGTCCCATCTTCGGTGGATACTCCACGCCGCCCAGTGCAGCCGTCGGCGCTCTCTACTACCCCGTCTACGGCCTCAACGAGTCTCGCCCAGGCTTGATCCTGCATTACCGGGGTGGCCACTGGAGCGACGAGTTCACGAGCTTCTCAGACAAGGAGTATGTGCAGACTGTGTTGGATGCTGTTGTCAGTGTGCATGGCGAGCAAGCGAGAGAGCTGTATACGGGCGACTATGAGAAGCTGTGTTGGCTGCAGGACGAGCATACGGGAACTGCTTGGTGCCGTCCGGATGTGATGCAGCATAAATTATATATCCCGGCATATCATCAGACGGAGCACAACACTATCTTCGTTGGAGAGCATACGGCTCCAACGCATGCTTGGGTTAGTTCGTCGCTGCATTCGGCTGTTAGGGGTTCTGTGCAGCTGTTGCTTGAGTTGGGTTTGGTGGATGAGGCGAAGCGAGTCAATGAGGAGTGGATGGGCAGATGGATTCGGCGTACAACCACGTAGGAAGTCAATAATCTGAGCATTAATTACTACGTAGTGGATACAGATATACATGAGAGAATGTGTGTGTGTGTGCGTGAGAGAGAGCTGCCAAACACCTGCTCTATCTACCTAGGTAATCTCTGCTCTGCGACACTATTTCTCTAGATAGTCAGCCAATAGCTAGCTGTATCCGGATCCAGCGTAGTCCAACAGTAAGGCATGTCTCCGCAGAGGCCGTCCTCCCCAAACCTCCTGTCTCTGATCACCGCACTATAATTCTTCATCGCCAGTCGAAAATCCTGCTCCGCTTTCTCAACTTCCTTACCCATCCTAGCCAGTATGGTTGTATTGTCGAACATGTGCGAAATCGTTTCCCCGCTGTTGACGAATGTAGGCCGGTTGAAATCGACAACTAAACTGATTTGGCCAATAGCAGCTTCAACTTGTGGCATGAAGGGCATAATGTCGGTAACACCTTTCGCAGTTGGCAATGGCGAGTAGAAGGCGAGTGGGTGGAAAGGAAGAACACCAGTTGAGGCGGCGAGAGCGTTTGTGTTGAGCGTGCCGTGAACTACTGATACGAGGTGGGCCATATGGGTCAGGATGTCAATGAGAGTTTGCTTGTCCTTTAGAGCAGATGGGAAGTCTACTATCTGAGCTGGTATCGCCTCATGGATCCACGCCTGGAGCTCAGTGTCGTTTACGATTGCGCTTGTATCCTTGTAATACGATTCCACGAAGGTGGTCATGAACCGGCGTATGGCAGCATGGATAACGGATGCATCCCGGTAGAAAGGAAACGCTTTGATCTCGGGACCGAAGCTAGAGTCAATCAGACCTCGCTTTTTCAGATTGGCTTCGAAGTAGTTCGCCTGGAAAGAGCTGGATTCTCCGGAATGATACAGTGAGTCGGTGTAGTTACCGGCTTGACTGCCGGCCCATGGGAAGAGTTGATCGATGGGGCCACCGGGGTTTATCAGGTTGTCGCGGCCGATGACTCGGAACGCCCAAGCATCCTTCATTACTACATTACCGCTATAAGTACAGTGACACAATTGTGGAAGAGTGGTTAAACTTACATCGATGTAGTATGGCCATGACAGGATGTTCCTCACTCAGAGTGCGGATAGCGCTCAGGTACACAATCTCACTAACCGCGTGCGTGGCCCCGAGATGATACCATTGCGCGTACCAAAAACTGTTCAGATTGAACATCATCTTGGCCAGCAACCAATCGTTAGTTGAGTCGCGGGGGGTATAGACGAGGTCAGAGCCTTCTACATTCGGTTTGATGGCGAGCGGCAGGAAGTTCTGAGACTTGGGGTCGATGTAAAAGTACGCTTGGCAGGCAGCGCCGTATTTTCCAGCGGACTGTGGTTGATACTTTTGATCCAGATAATCGGCAAGAAAGAGACGGCCAGAGGATCGGAGCGCTTCCAGTGTCTGTCCCGAAATCGCGTCGGCGTTGGAGACGGAAAAGGGAAGCTTTGCGTCTTTTGACACCCGCACGATCTTGTACGGGTTGTCTGAGAGCTGAGCCATTGAAAAGAGCAGGTCGTCTGTGTAATTCGTCAATAGTCCTGGATACGGACCTTTGGGCGCGCTTTCTTTCCACAGGCCGTTATACAGCTTCGCATAGTCATCCAAAGTGTTCAAGCCGCCAGCCTGAGGTATGTTAAGCATAGATCTCCGCGATCAGTCCGACAAATGTACTTACTGCCACAATGGATGCTTGAGCAGCTTTAGCATCCTCATCATTCTTGGCGCTCAATTTGTCAGAGAAAGCTTCGAAGCTGTCCCCTTGCGCCTTCGCAACTGGTCCACCAATACTGCCAGCTGGATAAAATGCAGTGTTGCCGGCGATTGAGGGACCATATTCCCAACCTGCTCGCTTCTCTGCAAGCGCAGATGCACGCGTACTGGAACTGGAGCTGGTGCCAATCGAGAAGTGCGACATGTCCCGGCGCCAGGGTGAGAGGACTGCTCCGTGAGCAGAACTACTGGCGCAGAGCAAGAAACAAAGTTGATAACGCATCTTTGGCATAGAAAATAGATCAAGAGGAGTGTAAATCTGAGATGTATAGATGTGTTGATTCTCGTTCCAAATGGCTGAGCCGATGGTTTTATGCTGATCGAATAGGTCCGGAACTCAACGCATCGCAGTTATCAGAACCGCGAGAACCGAATTGAACACAGAAGCCGAGACCTCCGTCTCGTACAACCTGTCTGGGAAGTCTATGCATTGTGTTAGTGAGGTCACAAAGCTGAGGTGAGCACAATCTAGCCAGCCTTGCGCGATTCCGACCTGAACCGCCGTCTGACAACCGAAAGCAATACCGCCCGCAAGCGCACAGCATAGTGACTAAATTCCGTTTGACTCTGGTTACAAGCTCTGCTAAGGCAGCTGCTAAGGCAGGCTCATATGAGGATGATGCTGGTGTTAAGTTAAGTTAGTGCCGAGACGTCAACGAGATGCCCAGGTGGCATTAAACCACCATAGGACACTTCATCGGCTGATATCGGTTTTGGTTCATTCGGAGCCCAAGAAGTCAGATTAAAAGTCTCTCTGCCCAATGTGTGATTGATCATCGCAGAGCAATTTTGGAATTGTATGGGCTTCGTACGAGCCAACAAATTTGTGACATCGCGACATCGATTGCCGAAGTAAACGGATTGCCAAGCGAGCCGACGGATTAGTTCGGTCCCGGGGCAAAAAGCGCTAATACAAAAGGAGCGTAGATCCGGAGCTCAGGTGTCATCTCCCGAATTTGTGCCGAGCTCTAAACAGCACTCGGTAACAAACAAGCATACGTTATGAAGATCCATGTATATCAAACGTGATCGATTCTATCTTCTTTCAACCTCAAATTTATCAATCTGGGATGGAATGCTCGCAGCGTAACGAAGCTGGTCTCGCCATACGACTAAGATCCGTTGGCACCCTGAACGTACGGTTTCTTGTAATTGTAAGGAGGAGCCATGTTCGAGTACCAGGGATCATAAGTCAACAGTACAAAGCCAGGATCAGCAGCTGCAATGTTTGAAGGCCAACAGCTGTTCTGGTCCAAACCTTCGTTGGGTGGGGCAGCAGCATGGCCCCATGCAGCAATCGTAAACTCAGGGCGCTGAGTGACGGTCACGTGTACTTCAGTGTACTGATACCCCTTCTTCATCGCGTATACCTTGTTGGGGGCAGCGTTGGCTTTTGCCGCGAAGTCGGAGTTCGTCAGATCTTCAAGCGGAGGCTTGAAGCATGCACCCTTCCACATCCTGCCAGCGCGTCTGTTCTCATCGGCTGGCAAAACGCGTACCATTTGGCCTTGAGCATCGACGCCGGCTTTCAAAAAGGCGGGATGGTTTCTGTGCAATAGGTAGGCGGGTGGGTACTCATCTCGATCGCAATCGTCCGGCTTTACCCATCCCCGACCATTATGCTGGTAGGTCCAGACATCGGTGGCTTTCGCGTCGAGCCGGTGCTTGATAGTAGCGTTTTCCTCATCGCAGGTCAGAGTCGACCATGACGGATGATTTCGAATGACTGAGCTGTAATGGTAACAAGCTTGTGAATTCTCTTGCGAACAAGTCGCTTTGAATTGCACTGGCACCGCATTTGGCGCAAAAGCGAGCGAGGTAATGACCATGTTCTCTTTTCTTGTTAAACCGTTGACGCAGGACTGCTTGCGAAGTGTGTTGGAGGCCTCGCCGAGACGGAGTGTTGATTTCCCTGCGGGTACTCTGCATTTCTTTGCTGGCTTAGTAACGCCATTACCGCTGCCACCTCCACCTGGTCGACGGGGCCTTGAGCTATCGATTGGGTTACCGTCGTCACCCTTTTTGCGACTGTGACGTTTCATGCGCTTTGGCGGCTTGAAGCTCGATACACCGTTGGCTACGGTGCTCAAGATTTCGAAAGCTTTCTTGATATCTTGCGGCACCAGGTCCGTACCCCCGCATGGACTCAGCCACCATGAGAATGCGCCCTCGGGGTCTTCTTCTTCGGGATACAGATACGCAGCCATCTGTGCGGCTGTTGTAGCCATATCTGTGAGATTGAGTTAGTATAGGTGTGACGTGTGAGACGCAGTAAGACGCTAAGCAAATGAGCCGACTTACCCAGACCAATATCCAGAATCTTGCCCACTACGGGTATGAATTGAACTCCGACGTCGATTACGAGTTTGATACTTGACATGAGCACATAGCAACTAATCTAGATAATCGTCAGATGGCAAAACGTTTCCTAACCGCGATTAACGGGTATTGGATAGCATACCTGAGCGATCAAGGGCATTGCTTCCAGAACAGTGTCTGCCAGTTCGTTGAGGAGGAAGTTGTCGCACAAACATTTCCCAGGCGCAATCAACTGACTACCCGCTCCCGGTCCTCTCTCCCAAGGAATACTGGTTTCCATAGGGTAGAATCCGATACACCCGTAATTAGATGTTCTCCCCTCCTCTGCCGCCTCATCTAGTGCGTCCTGACAAATGGGTTTGCACTGAGTCTTGCTCACTTCGTTGTATGCTGGGTCCCTGTATATGATGCATGTCTGATCATTGGCGAGTTTCGCTGCGGTTTTGTTGTAATAGTTGGGATCTTCGCCGTTGCCAAAGTCCTCCCCAAATCCGTGTGGTCCACTTTCATCGGGCCCATCGATAGGAGTGGTACATATCTCCTCGGGACAATAGTTGTATTTGCAAGCAAACATGCAAAGTCGGTTTAGTTCCACATTGAACTCGTCCCAAGCTACGATGTTGAGTCCAGTCTTCTCGGTTGGCAGATCTAGAAGCTTTCCAGTTGTGTAGCATATGCATACACGCTCAGGACAAAATCCATAGAGACAGGTGAAGTCGCAAAGGTCCCCTGACTCTAAAGTGATACCTTCCCCGGAGGTACAGCCTTGACCACTCTCGGGTCGTGGAGGTAGAATGCTCATTTCCTGCGCAGTGAACTCCTGGAGATCAACGGCCCAGTCAACAGTCCCAGCAAAGTTGAATGACTTCCATTCGGCACGTCGGGCGTCCTTGGTTTCAGGAGTCATATAACTGATGTAGTCACCTGAAAAGCGAATTCATATTAGCAAAGGCCAAGTGCAAGCTCCGACGATGGCTGTAGCGCAAGACCAAGAAGGCTCACCAGCAGCGTGACTCACCATTGTACACCATGACATCAGTACGCGACTGCTTATCGAAAAAGGTTCGAGACGAGTTCTCACCAGGGCTGGTGATAAGCTCAGTGATCTCGGCGTAAGCGAGGTAGCCTGGAGTTCTAGTGCATCGGCCCGGAGTAGCGTCGGAGCTGTCTCTCGATCCTGTAAATTCACATTTCGGGCCCCAACAGCCATCCTGGGCCATATGAAAAGATCTGCCGTAACTTGCTTCTCCCACAAAAATCTTGTTATGTGGGACGCCTGCTTTCGAGACTGCTTTCGTCGTTAATCAAAGTGCATACAGCGCGGCATTCCTTCACGGATCGAACATACTCATAGCTAGAGAATTTCGCGTCTCCGTGTAGTTGACTGTCATTTGAATCAGCATGACCGTTCGATCTCGTCTGAGTCGTTATAGCACCCACCATGGCTCCGGATACATCGACCGGAAGGACATGAGTCATATGCATTGGGATTACCAGCATCCCATTGCCCATGCAGATCGTACGTCATGTAAACAATGTAGTCAACGACTACCGCAATCCTGTCGATAGGAAAAGCTTTAAGATACCAGTACGAGGCCGGTGCGGCGATGGACACAGAGACGCCAGGTTCCAATTCTTTCTTCAAGACCGTAAGGAACTTGAGATAGTTCAGGCCATCGCTTGGTCGGCCAATAGGTCGGCCATCGACTAGTATATCAGGAGCCTATGAGCTGGTAATTAATGTATGCTAGAAGCAGGCAACGATAGCAAAACTTACACCCGGGTATTCCCAATCGATGTCTATGCCATCAATGCCTTCCACTTTGGCGAATTGGGCCAGATTCCTAGCGAACTCATCCCGGTGGTCTATGATAGCTCCGCGAATAATGTTGTACGTTGCCGGTTCTGTCGAAGCCGCCCAGCCGCCAAATGAAACAATGCGCTTGACATTTCTCAGTTCCTTGAAGTCTTTCCAGTGGTCAGAGCCGTCTCGAATAGCGGGCTTCCAGTTATCGGGGTTGATGTCGGCAAACGCCCAGTGGATGTGCGTGTAGGATTCGCCGACGTTTGCATGTCGAGCGTTGAGCCGCAGACAAGGACGTTTGTGATTATATGCTTCATAGTAGCCGATTCGCATAAATTCGTTCGGGGCTGGAGAATTGTCCATCAGTTGATTGCCGCAATTAGAGACGCAGGTGTTCTGGAAATTCTTGTCTTTGCTGCCTGGCGCACCATCCTTGGGCGCATGGATGTCGCAATGGGCTGGAAATACACCGCAAAAGCCCCAATTGCTACAGCATGCCTTCAAAGGGCACGGATTCAGATCAGCTAGTGATGCTTTATTCGTCGGTCGTTGCGTGCCAGGAACCAGCGGCCCACACTGGGTACCTTGCTGTGGCGGTGGCATGGGGGGCAAGCCGTCACTGACGCACATGCTGTAGCCGATCAGCATATCCTTGCACTCAGTCCATGCCCAAGTCTTTCCTCTGTTCCACTTCTCAAGGTTGCCGATAGTCACGCCATACTGTCCGGACAATCGATCGCAAGTATCTCCATTCTGGATAAGGTGTGTTGCGCAGACGCCATCGGATCCCGCTTGCGGCACGGCGCGTTTGCGAACATGGGTAGCGTTGTTGTTGGCGACATTGCTGGTACTGTTGGCATTGATCGTATTGTTGACGCCATGAAGATCCACTACTCGCACATCTGGGAGATGACCGACGACGCTCTGCCCGTCCGGTAGTGTGCAGTTTCCATTGCTCCACCCTAATACTGCTTTCTGGACCTGAATAAGATCACCCGTGCTGTCGATAATAAGGCCGAACGCGTTTCGTGCCTGGCGTCCGCCACCGCAGAGCTCGACGACGATCTGGTTCGGCGTCCGAGCTCCGTTGGATCGCACGTGATCTGCCAGCAAGCTAAGGGCGGACTCCGCCGTTAGCTTTGCCAGGTCGTCTCCTACATGAACGCCGACAGCCAAATCCTTGTGACGCGCAAACAGGAACTTCTCGTCACAATTATCGCGCGCAGCAAAATACATCCCCATGCCCATGAGCAACCCCACAATATCGCCCGACCGTTCCTGCCCGTCGCCGCGAGTTGTCATCTGCATGTCGTGCGAAGTCTCTATGCCATCCAGAACGCATGCTGGCGCAGACTGGAGGCTCGCTCGAAAAAGATCTCCTGCCTTCTTTGGATTTTCGACAGGGACTTCTGCGATCATGGATTCATCGTCTCCGCCACCCAACGTGCAGCTGCGGATCAGCGGTGTCGTCTGAGGATCGTCAAGTGCCGTTGAAATTGAGAATTCGAGCAGCATTGCCTCCTTACACCGCTGGATGCGCTCCATTGAAAAGTACGTGATCCAGCTGTGCGTATTTGCGTAGTCTACACATGCTAGCGGGCAGTCGTACTGGTCGGGGTAGTAGGTATTCGGGCTGTCAATCGGCGAGGCGTCGTCTTCAGTAAGGGGTTCGCTAACCCAAGTACCGTTGGGGTGCATAGCGGATTGTACCCGTGCGCAGCCCCAGAAAAGGAGAATGGAGAGGTATCTTGCCATCGCGAGACTGGTGCTATTCTGAAAATGACTTCACGATGCACTGCTGTAAGGACGATGCAGAAAAAACTCGACTTCCGCACCCGGTGAAGCACCACATACACTCTTCGAAACAACCGCTATGCATCTTGCCTACTCGTTCAATCCCAGTATTAACGTGGCACAGCCGCGAACCGCTTGATTGCATCAATGTACGGTCGTCAGGTGTCTCGCCCCGACAGATCGGTAAATGAATACCTCAAGGTCATGTACGCCGAGCCGGGTAAACAAGCGATTATATGAACCACACATCTCGTCAACACAAGTTCTCAGCAGTATTCTCCTTACACAATTACGAGAATATGCCTACACTTGAAGATATCATCTACTCACGCGAGGCGTGCATCGCTGCAGTCCGCGATTACTACCAGTTTCTTACCCGGATGTACATGGATGAAAGCGTCATTATCGAACCACCCAAAGAAGGCTGGCCCTCTGTCACTCCCGACTCCATGCGAGGTCTCAACAAGACGGACGAAGTAATTTCCCTTCTCCAACATCTTCCATACATCCGTGGGTCTGGCAGCAGCTTCGAAAATCCTCAAGCAGCCCCATGGTGTGCCTTTTCCGACTGGCAGAGGGACCTGGGACGCGTGCTTCAAGGTGGTGTTAAGGGTGAAACACTTAAGCTTTGCTCAGAAGGCGCCAGCTTTACTGATGAAGTACCGGCCCACGTCATCGGTTTAACTACTGGCGGACGAGACAATGCAGACTTTCTGCTCGACACGGAGTTGGGCGTTGTCTACTGGATCGAATGCCCCTACGAGATTAGGCACAATTCGTCACGCGAACCAATCGAAGACGACCCGTACGATTACGCGCCAGACAACGAGGCTCAATGGCGGGCCGAATCGGAATGCTGGGCTATTGCTGACTTCTTCGGCATGCTCAAAGATCAATTTCGGCAACTCTCTTTCATTCCCATTGGCCCAAAGTCAGTCATCGATATTTATGCGACTCTAGGGCCCGAGGATAACGGACTTGTAACCATGCTACAAAAGGTCTATCGTGAGCATGGATGGCCGGATGTGACGCGCTATCGAAAGACTGAATGTCTCGCCGCGGTACAAGCCGCCCTGCAGGAGCACTATCCCCACTTTGTTCAGTAGGAAGTGAGTCACTGCTATCAAGAGGGTTGTGTGAAGGTTTCGTATCTCTTAACAAGGACGTCGAGCTCTGTAGTAGATAGCAAGCTTCAAGCAAGAACGAATCAATCCAGACTACCAACATTTCCCAAAGCCGTCGAGAGCAGGGACCGACATATCACCCTAGAACAACACGAGGCTTCCTTTTAGCCGAGTCGAAATGCGTGCAAGGGATGCAGTTGGTCATGGCGTGAAGCCCCTTATCGATCAATATGGTTCTTAGTCATTGATGATATAATGGAGGCATATGCCACAGATTTCTGCGCTGTCAAATCACTTCATAGATAACCTCACTTTGGCATATCGACCCTCGGCGACATCTTGCTTACAATGGCTCTTTCCACAGGCGCCCCTCCATTCAAAACTGCTGTTACGGCGTCTGCAGCCCAGCTGACGCTCATGCCTATCGCAGAGCCAACTATTACCCGAGATCCTTGGTACTGCGCGACGGAAAACATAGCACAATATTTCGATGTACCGAAGCCCACTGGAGCCCTTCTGGATGAGCTCCTTATCTACGGAGACAAGCTGATCGAGGACTGCACACTTACTATCACGCCTTCGGCTACGGTTGTACCAACGTGTCCCTTTCCAGAATGGACTAGTTGGTGTGGTTTCACTACCGCTGCGCCTCGAGAAGTTCTTCCAGCCTATTCCTCCCATGGCAGCGTAGCATCTTCCTGGTGGGCTGCACATAGCTCGCGAGCCGTGGAAGTCGTTCAACGCTGCCCCAATACTTGGATCAGAGAAATGCGCGAGGCTCTTTGGGGCGAAGTCTGGCTGAATGACACCATTGCGTTTGCCGCATGCTACGCCGAGGAGCATGAGATCGACAAACCTTCGACCACCACGCAATCAAAAAGCGGCTCTCTAGAAACGACTTCTACCATCTCGACTATTGTTCCGACCCAAGATCAGGTCACGGCTAAGACTGCGTTGCCGAACAGTGTCATCGGCCGAGTGGAGAGTGTCAAAGTGATAGTAGTTGCAGGCGCGGGGATAGCTGCAGCCGCCGTCAATTCTGTGCTGTAAATAAAACTGAATAATATGGATATATCATCGGGAAGCTTTGTTTTGTGTGCGCATGTGCTCCGGACCTGGAGAGGCCGAGCCGCATTCCTTCATTTTAGCAAGATACAGGCCGTAGACGACCTCGGGAGGCAAGACACCCCACCTTTAATTGAAAGCGCATATGCGCCTACTGTCACACTCCAAGATCTGCAGGTCTCGGTGCGGCCCGAGAAAGGAGGCAATATAAAGCCGCAGAAAACTGCATAGCCGATTGCCGTAGGACATTGCGGCGTAGTCAGGTTGATTCGGCTGTACATGACAACACTCACAAAGATGCAGGCCACGATACTAGCATTACGATCTATGACGACCTGCACCACTTCCAAATTTAGGCTACTATCATTGAGATTCTATGCAACATCGGGGTGTCGGTCCGTAGTCCAGAACTCTCATTGTAATTCTGTGCAAAGCAGCCGGTTAGCACAACGCGTTCATCATCAAGCACAGTTTAAATCGTTGCAAATCCAAGAGCTGTTTCCCTCAAGATAATTAGTCCAAGTTCATATTACACGCGAAGCATTAAGACCCTGATAATGCTTGCCCTTCAGTATACCCTTTACATTCTCCTTGCTTATCTTGGTGCATCCTGCATCAACGCACGCGTTCTTCGTCCAAGGGATTGCTCGTTCACCTGGCCTGCCAAGCAAGGTGACACCTGCAGATCCCTAGCGGAAGAATGGAGCATCACTGAAGCTGAATTCATCAGCTTCAACCCTGGAGCACCATGCAGCTCGCTCGTAGCTAATACCGAATACTGCGTGGAGTGGCAGGGCGATCTACCCGTTACTTCCCAACCAACGCCAACAAAAACGACACAATCATCGTCTTCATCCTCTCGCTTCACATTGCTGCCACCAGTAATCACATGGGAGTTTCCCGCTAGTGAGTGGCACGCTTCGACTACTACGACGAAGCCGCCTAGCGGCCCAGCGACCCCGACTCCTGTTCAACCAGGTGCATCGACGAAATGTTAGTATTGAGCAACACGGTGGGGAATGAATGGGAATAAAGGCTGACAAATCGCTTGGCATAGGTAACAGATGGCACCTTGTGAGCTCAGGCGACGTTTGCCAGAAGATAGCCGATCAATACAGAATCACCCTCGCCGATTTGTAAGTCCACACCATCTTACCAATCAACATGCTCCAGCAGCTAAGCATGCATCTGTAGTTACAAATGGAATCCTGCTGTAGGAAACAGCTGCGCTAGTCTATGGCTAGGCTACTATGTGTGTGTGGGCTCTTCGTGAGCGCAATCATGGAGCAGGGTGGAACAACTGTATACCTCCGTCAGGAAGCATGAGCAAGCCAACTATCCAACTTGCCCCAGTCTATAAACTCAAGTGATGAATCGTCCATGATGTAGTCGGTAGCCAAAAAATCATTCGCGCAGCTCAAATCCATGCTGTCGAAGAATGCGCCGTCGACCTCGTTAGAGTAGGTGAAAGGGTCAGTGCTGTCGAACCCAGTGGCTTGCGTAGGTCCAAATGGCGCCTGAAAAGGGTTCTGATTTAGATCCATTAACCCATCGAATTCATCAGGTATAGCATTGCCGTCGGGTCGGTGTATATCAGTCCCGGCTTGATCGGTAGAGGCAGCCGCATGAACGCCGTTTGTAGTGCGTTTCTGGCGCCGCAACCTTGCGCTATCGCGTTGATGTCGTAGACGTGCTATGAATGCAGGTTGCGGACGAAAAAGGCCATCTTTCGAGCGCATCAATGCTTCATGATCGTCATAGGCCTTCAAACATAGGTTGCCAACAGCTGCATGGATGGGCCTTCTCATGTCCTCGAGCATCTCCGGATTATTGTCGTACGTTTCGCCGATGAGTCGCCAAGCTCGATCAGTGTCGATCAGGTTGGGATGAGCGCGAAGAGTATCTAGCAAATGAATTAAGGCGTGCCACTGCCGAAAGTAGGACGCGCTCCACGCAAAGCGTTTGATGACGGGGTTGGTCTGCAACATGATTTGTTGTTCAAGAAGCTTGAGACAGACTTCCCAGATCTTCTTGCGCTCTTTGAGGGGTGTTTTCTCTAATGTGCCCCAGTTCCGTGGATGATGTATCAGAAAGCGGGCTACATTGAGACCATACCGGGCCACAACCATTGCAACAAGATGCAAGGGCTGAGACGGGTCACAGTAGCGAAGATGTTTCGTTTCGATGGTATCCTCGAGCTCTTGAATCAAGCTTTCACGGGCGTTCTTGCTCTTTGCCGAATGGTCAAGGTTCATCTGCCTGGGGTCCATTCCTTCTTGGCGCAATGCCGCAATGCGTGGCGCAGCGAACTTTCCCATTTCACATCTTGTTACAATGAAGATAACATCCGTCAGTCCATTAGAGTCTGAGGGTAGCTCAGACATGCCAGGATACAGCTGATCGTCGTTGACACTGATAGGCCATTCGGCTCGCTCAGGGCCGATGTCAGGATCTCGGTATTTCGCGAGACCGCACAACTCCGCAGCCCGGGAGTCATGAGCTTTCAACTGAAACCAGATACGGCGGCGTATCTCGGTCTCGAAGGGAGATATTCCTAGATATTTACCATCGCGCTCAAGACCCATGCTTTGAGCGACGCGAACAGCTACGCCGGTAAGCGTCCAGGTCGCGCGTGGCGCATAGATCTCGCGGATGGTGATCAGATGTATTACCAAAGCCTGAAGAACAACAAGATTGGAAGTCTCCATCACTCTT